GGGTCTTTTTGCAACTTTCCCAGCTCTGTGATACCCGTTTTGCAGTGAGGGAGCTAGAACTGCACTCTGTGTCCTAAGCACAGGTGCACTCCCTCCCTCTCTGCAGTTACGGCTGCTGCTGTGGGTCTCCCCTGACAATGCCGGGTTCCAGATCCTGCTGATCTTGGATGAATCCTGCTGCTTGCTTGGGTCAGGCTCACAGCTGCCCAGCGCCACCTGGTGGCCATCGACAGGGCTGCAGAGGGAGCTGCGGCTGGTGGCTCCTGTTCTTTATTATAATAATTCAGCCAAACCTCGGTTGTTGAATGTAAACCGTTCCGGAAGATGGTTCGACTTCTGAAACGTTCGACAACCGAGGCACAGCATCTGATCAGTTGCAAGAGCTTCTTGCACTCAAGCGGAAGCTGCGTCGGGCGTTTGGGTTCCAAAAAACGTTCAATAGCCCAGAGCATTTATTTCTGGGTTTCCTGGATGCGGGGGCCAAAACGTTCGAAAACGGAGCCGTTCAAGAACAGTTTTATTATTTGTACCCCTCCCACCTGACGGAGTTGCCCCAGCCACCCTTGGCTCAGCCAGTGTGAGAGAGGGGGACTGTTCCTTTGAGTCGAGGGTCAAGCCCTTTGTCGAGGGGGCCTGCGGCTCAGTCCCTGCCAGGGCTTGGGGCTCTGGGCCACGCGGCCTCTTCCACCTGCTCTCTGTCCCCTGCAGCCTCTGCACGACAGGCGTGGTCCAGCTGCACATCAACAACTGGCTGGAAGTGAGCTTCTGCCTGCCCCACAAAATCCACTACGCTGCCTCTCGCTTCATCCCTCCGGAAGCCATCGAGAGGAGCCTCAAGGCCATTCGGTAAAGACCGGGTCGTAATAAAATGGGGGGGGGGGTTTGTTGTGCCGCTTCCTGGTCCCAGAGTGCGCCTGGATCTGTGCTTTGGGGGGCAGTGGGGTCCCTCTGCGGGACCTGCGTTGCAGAAGGGTTGGCCTAGATGACCCTGGAGACACCTGCAGTGCCGCGAGTGTCTGTGTGCCCCCGTCTCTCCCCCCCGCTCAGGCCGTACCACGCCTTGCTGCTGCTGAAGGACGAGAAGACGCTTCTGAATGAGCTGCCGCTGGACTGCTCCCCCGCCCTGGTGCGCGTGGTCAGGACCACCTCGGCCGTCAAGAACCTCCAGCAGCTGGCCCAGGACGCCGACCTGGCGCTGCTGCAGGTGAGGGGGAAGGGGGGCCGGTGTCCTGCCCAAGACTCTGGGGGGGCTGCCGGCAGAAGCGCCACCCGCTCCTCAATTCTGGGCTGGCTCCAGCAAGGCCTCCAGCCTGCTCCCTGGCCAAAGGGACTCTCCGCTTTGACTGCCATTATTCCTGCATTGCAGAGGGGGTCCTTTCCAATGCTGTGGTTCTGTGAACCCCCCCCCCCGGATGCCCCAGTGGGAATCCCAGGGGCCTCAGAGGGCATTGAGGCAGCAGCTGCTCCTCCCCACCTCCTGCTCTGTGCCTCACTCAGGACTAGTAGCTCTGATGCCGCTGTTGCCCAGAGAGGTTGGCACCTCGACTGGGGGGCTTCCCCCCCCACAAGTCCAGAGCAGTAGCTCCTCCTCTGACCCTGGTTGGCACCCACTGCTGCCCCCCCTCGCTGCTGCTGTTTCTTCTGTGGGGCTGGGGGAGGCTCTGTTATTGGCCTGGAGCAACGTCTCTTACCCGACTATCTGGGAGATGGGGAGGGATGTTGCTCAGCCCCCTCCTCACTCAGGGGGCCTCCTCAAAAGCGGAGCCGGTGTCCCCAAGTCGACAGGTGAGAAAAGCAGGTGGGAGCCAGGAGGGCCCTGGAGATTCCCATGGGGGGGCAGGCACTTTTGTGGCTGGAGGAGAGGCCAGGCAGTTTCTGAGAAAAAGGGGGACTCCCTAGATGTGACCCCAATCCAGGCCTTTTCTCCCTGGCGAAGCAGCTTCCTCCTGCCGCTTGGGCCCAGGAACCTGGGGAGGTTCTGCTGGTGCTGAGTTCAAGTCTTCCCCTTCCCTCCCTGCGGCAGGTGTTCCAGCTGGCAGCGCACCTGGTCTACTGGGGGAAGGCCATCATCGTTTACCCGCTGTGCGAGAACAACGTCTACATGCTGTCTCCCAATGCCAGCGTCTGCCTGTAAGTCTCTGGGCATCCAGCTCTGCCGAGTACGAAGCAAGACTCGCACCCTGTCCCCTCCCTCCCGATGCTGGCCTATGCGGAGGCTGGGGGGTTCATGCAGAGAGACCCCGCTGACCTCCTGCCTGCTCTGCCTCTCGCCCCACAGCTACTCCCCTCTGGCGGACGACTTTGCCTGCCAGTTCCCCGGCCACGACCTGCCTTCCGTCCTCTCCAAGTTCTCCTTGCCGGTGTCCCTGTCGGAGTTCAAGGACCCCCTGGCTCCCCCCATGCAGGAGGTAAGCTGCCCCTGGCACCCCTCACCCAGCCGGCCCCTGGGCAGCCCCCAGGGGGGTGGCGTGTGGCACCCACTGAGCCCCTCTTTGCCTCCCCCCCACCAGACACAGCTCATCCAAATGGTCGTCTGGATGCTCCAACACCGACTGCTCATCCAGCTGCACACCTATGCCTGCCTGATGGTGCCCCCCAAGGAAGAGGACGTCCGGCCCCGGGCGGAGGAGATGCCCCTGGCGGCCAGAGTCGGGGGACGCAGCCTCAGCACCCCCAACGCCCTCAGCTTTGGCTCCCCAAGTAGGTGGTGTGTGTGTCTTTTGGAGCCTTGCTGTGAAGGGGTCCTGGGTCACTGAGTCTGTCTCCATCTTACCTTTTGCCAGATGCTCCAGATGTTTTTCCCATCATACTTCTGGGCATAATAGGCTTTGTTGTTTTTATTTAGTTTGTTGCCTTTATACGCAATATAAAAACGGAAAATCAGAACACAAAATGCATAACCTAATAACAGATACCCCCAAAAGCTGCATAGCCCCCTCTCCACAAACATAAGCCGTACATTTTTTGATCAGCCCAAGGCCCGGTTGAAGAGGAACGCTTTTGCCTGGCCCCTAAAGCAAAGGAATGAAGGCGCCAGGCCAGCCTCTCAGGGAAGAACATCCCACAAGCAGGGAGCCACTGCAGGAAAGGCCCTGTTTTGAGCTGCGGCTGTGGCTGAGTTGCCCCACTTGTAGGAAAGGATCTCCTCTACTCCAGCGAAAGACGGAAAGAGGTTGTGGGGGATCCCAGGGCTTTTGCAAACGCCACGCGAGCTTCAGCCCCCGTCCATCTGCACAACCAATCTTGTATGGCCTGATCCTTCCACACCCTTCACAGAGCAAGGGGTGGCAGTGGCGGCTGTGCTGGGGGGGGGGGCTGAGCATTGCTCTCTCCACACGAGGCGCATGCATGCACGCTCTGCCCAGGCTGCTCTTTGCGTCTCTCCCCCTTTGCAAAGCTCGCCCTTTGCATTGGGGGCCTGGGGGCCCTCTCGCGACAGGACAGGCGCCTGCCTCTGCTGGGTGTGTGTGAGAGAGGGTGCGCATGAGCCCCGTGGGCAAGGGGGCAGCCGAGGGGGGCGGCCTGCTCCACGCTCCCTTGCGTCTTTGTCTTGTCCCCCCCCCCCCCAGCCAGCAGCGATGATATGACGCTCACCAGCCCCAGCATGGACAACTCCAGCGCAGAGCTGCTGCCCGGAGGGGACTCCCCTGTGAACAAGCGCATGACCGAGAACCTGCTGACCAGCCTCCCGGAGCACGAGCGAGAGGCCATCCTCAGTGTCCCAGCCGCCCACAACCCCGAGGACCTGCGCACATTTGCCAGGTAGGCAGGCAGCTGCCTTCAAAGAACGAAAGGGCCGGGTGTGGCGATGGCTGATTCTGGGAAGAAGGCAGAAGCCGAACTGCAGGAGTCCCTAGGGCGGCCACAGCCAGGATTTTTGTTAGGGGGGCAGAACCAGTGTGATTTGTCAGTTAGCACCTGCAGCCGTTTCTTCCTTTGGGGGGGAAAGGTTGCTCTGGGAGAGCGGAGAGATCAAGGGGGAGGTTTGGGGGCTGCCCTGCCCGTCCCTTGCAGCTCTCCTGGCTGGGCTGGGGGGTCCTGGGTTGGGTTTCCCGCTGGGGGCTCCTTGCCCAGGCTGCAGCTGCCGCCCCCCAGCCCTGCCCTCCTTCCCGCCCCCAGGCTTCTGCACTACTTCCGGGGGCGCCACCACCTGGAGGAGATCATGTACAACGAGAACATGCGCCGCTCGCACCTCCTGATGCTCTTTGACAAGTTCCGGAGCGTGCTGGTGGTGACCAACCACGAGGACCCCGTCATCTCCGTCTTCCAGTCCTTCCAGAAGTGAGGAGAAGGGGCCGCTGCCCAGGACTTCGAAGGAGGATTGCTGGCCCTCGGGATGGGGGAAGAAGGCACCCCCTTCTTGCAGCCACATGGGGGGCAAGGAGGGGACTTGGGGGCCTTGTGCACGGATGCCTGATTCGGTCACGCTCCTGGCACTGCCAGGCCTCAGGTGCTGCTTCTGGGCCTCTGCTGACGGCTGCAGACATAGCGATCCATCTGCTGGACACTTCTCTTGGCTGGGGGAGGGGGGGAGAGCTGGGGGGGGGCTGTGTCTTGATAGTTGCAGGCAAGCCTCAGACTATTCACCCACCGTTGCACAATTACAACCACATGCTGGAAAATGTGAAATCTTTCTCCTCTTAAGTCAGGGAACAAGTCTGTTGTGAAAGTACCAGCTCTCTTCCTCCCTGCCGTGACCCACAGACCTACCTTCCTCACTTCTGAAGGGCAGGTGACCACTGGCTTGGCCTCCTCTCTCAAGCCACCTGAACTGGCCGCATCCTGCTTGCTCAATCAGGTAGCTCCTCTCTCTTCCACAAGGACCAGCGGCAGGAGCAGGTTTAACCAAGGGAATGGGGGGAGAATTTGTTGGGGTGATTCTGGTACCTCTTCCTAGCAGTGGAGGAACTCTATCTCCCCACATCGTGGGGGGGGGTGTCTTTCCCTTCCTTCAATATGCTGCAGGCAGGAAGGCTTTCCCGCAGCCACAACCACCAGCCTCAAAGCAAAACAATCTATTTTATTTTGGAAATAAATAAATGCACAAGGCTGAAAAAGTCCCGGCCTTCCCTGTTATTCTCCCCATCCTGGGAAGCCTCCTGACCCCCCGGTTCCTGGGCATCAGCAGCAGGGAGAGGCCTCCGCTGGCGGCTGGCTGCCTCTGGCCCCCTCGGCCGCCTTGTCCGTCACGCTCACGCACGGGTTGCCCCACACGTAGAAGCGCAGGGGCTGCTGTGCCCACTCGCCGCTGATGCCAATGCGGGGAGCGGAGATGACGTCTTCCTCCCTGGGCACGTCCAGGCCGGGCTCCAGCCACACAGCCGGATGGCAGGCCAGGTCCTGCTGGTCGAAGGTCTTGTCCACAGCCAGGGCCTGGCAGAGCTTGGAAGGCCCGTTGCACAGGTGCCGGTCCTTGAGGGAGCGGGTGGCCCCTTTCCGCTGAGCCAGGCGCAGCTCTCTCATCGCCTCCAGGCCCTGCAGGGGCTCCAAGGAGCGCAGCAGGACGGCCGCCCCCTCCCCTGGCGAGAGAGAAGGGAGGGGGCAAAGGTCAGGGCAGGCCAATCCCAGCTCAAGGGATCTTTCGGAAGGGGGTCGCAAGAAAACCTCCCGTATTCTAATGCTCTTCTACCAATCTATGGGGAGACCGTGTGCCGTTCTGTCATCTCACCTTGAAAGGTGAAGAAGGGTCAGAAAGGGGCAACCAAGAGGATCTGGAAGTTGCCTGGACTAGCTCTGAGGAGGAAGCGCTGGAGCATTTAGGAAACGAGTATGGAGGGGGATTAGAGAGGGGTACAAAATCAGGCATGGTGGGCAGAAAATGAAGAGAGAGGCGTTTTCCTCCATCTGCCAAGTACTAGTACGAGAGGGAGGAAAATTATTCTTATTGTTCTTCTGGATGTGTCAGAACAGACAAAAGAGGCGACTTCTCACCTCAATAAACCATCGAATTTGATGGCCTCCAACTTGGAGGGCTTTCAATGGGCATCAAATGCCTGTGAATATGAGATGCTGGGAATCCCAAGTGAGGCCAGTTGCTCTAGCCCTTGGTCCTTGAGGGGCCCTGGCTGGCTGCTGCGAGGGCCGGAGGCAGGACTGGGATGCGGCCCTGGGGCATGCACAGTCAGCCCCCTGCCCCTTCCCGGAAGGGATGCCCTTGCCCACTGCCACAGGCAAGGACACGGCAGCCGCACCCGACCTGGGACACTTGTCTGGGGGAGAGGGGCAGAAATGGAGGCCACACCATATTCCCCTGGTTCAAAGAAGCCAGGATCTGGGGGGGGGGAGCACTTTCAAGCAACAACCATGGCTGGACCCCCCACCTTGAAGAAAGGACTAGGCTGTCTGGGGAGCAGAAAGTTAGCCCAAGTGCTTTGGTCTCAGCCTCGGTCCTGTATACCTGAAGGAGCGCCTCCACCCCCATCGTTCTGCCCGGACACTGAGGTCCAGCTCCAAGGACCTTCTGGCAGTTTCCTCCCTGCGAGAAGCGAGGTTACAGGGAACCAGGCAGAGGGCCTTCTCGGTGGTGGCACCCGCCCTGTGGAACGCCATCCCACCAGATGTCAAGGCAATAAACAACTCTTTTACTTTTAAAAGACACCTGAAGGCAGCCCTGTTTAGGGAAGTTTTTAATGTTTAATAGATTATTGTATTTTCATATTCTGTTGAAAGCCACCCAGAGTGGCCGGGGAAACCCAGCAGGGGTATAAATAATAAATTATTACTATTATTATTATTCCCTTGAGTTTCTGAATGGACACAGAATGTTGGCTTTGATGGCCCCTTTGGCCGGATCCATCCATTTGGCTCTCTTCTGATGATCCTCAGAACAAAGCACAGCCCCCTCGCTCCCCCCCCACAGGGCCTGTGTGCCTGCCCGATGAGGGTTGGGGGCAGGAGAGGCCCCCCAAACTCCCCCGGAGGGCTCAGAGCTTTTCTGCAGGACGGCCACCTGCTTACCTTGGCTGGAGATGTTCATGCAGAAGTAGATCCCATAGATCTGGTACACATACAGAGTGCCCGGCGCCATGAACATAGCCGTGTTCCTGGCAGTCTGCCGCCCGCCCCTGGAGTGGGAGGCGGTGTCCTCTCCTCCCAGGTAGGCCTCCGTTTCCACAATGCGCCCCCGGAGCGCTCTCCCATCTGGAAGCCTCCGGACCAAGATCTGGGAAGCAGAGCAAAGGCTGAGCCCCACAAGCCACCAGAGCCGCCTGGAGAGGGCATGCCAGCACCTCTTCCACATTTCAGAAAGCCAACTCTTGCAGCCACTGCCACGGTTGGCCCCAAAACACTTGCGGGCAGCGCACAGAGACTCCCCATGTGGTTGCAAAGATGGAAGGTACAGCTCTGGGGGCGAGTGATGGGTTCGGAAGAGGTGGCTGCGGCTCAGCCCTGGCAGCAGAGGTCCCACCACCAGGGAGGCTCCCACCCTGACCTCCGAGATCTGGCAGAGCCCTCTGGCACCCTAGATGGGCGGAAGAGCACCTGCCTGGCATGCAGAAGGTCTCAGGTGCCCCCCCCCATTGGAAGCAGCATTACCAGGTGGGAAGAGTGGGCAGGAGCACTGAGGCACATGGGGGCTGCATGGCTAAATATTAAATGATGATGATAATAATAATAATAATAATAATAATGTTTATATCTCGCCTTCCCCAACCGAAGCCGGGCTCAGAGCGGCTAATAATAATAATAATAATAATAATAATTATATCTCGCCTTCCCCAACCGAAGCCGGGCTCAGAGCGGCTAACAACAATAAAAGTAACCCAGCATTCCAAAATCAATTCATTCTAAAATCAATTCATTCTAAAATCAATTCAAAATCAAATTAATGGCAATCATTGGGCTAGCGTTCTATGAAGATTACAGAAGGAGAGGGGGTCAGACTGAGCCTTGGTGGAACAGCTCCATCTTGCAGGCCCTGTGGAAAGATGTCAAGTCCTGCAGGGCCCTAATCTCCTCCACCAGGTGGGAGCCATCACTGAGAAGGCCCTGGACCTGGTGGAGGCCAGCCTAACCTCCCTGTGGCCTGGGACATACCAGGAGAGGCAGTCCTGTAGGTACGAGGGTCCTAGGCCGCATAGGGCTTTAAAGGTCAAAACCAGCACCTTAAACCTGATCCTGTACTCCACCGGGAGCCAGTGCAGCTGGTATAGAACTGGGTGGATGTGATTGCGTGGCGAGGACCCCGTATTAATAATAATTATTATTATCATCATCATAAAATTTATATACAGTACTGCCTTTTCTCCACACGGGGAGCCAAGGCGTCTTACAGATAAAACAGAAGCAGCTAAAATCATCGGGGTGGGGGGGACACAATTGTGAAACAATGAAACACGAGTAGAATTCAGGCATGCGCTTCTCTGCATGCGTAATTGCGCTTTCGCTCCTGCCCTGGCCAGGCCCCGCTCGGAGCCGGAGGGTCTCGGCTCGGCCCCGCCGTCGGGGGCGCCTCCTCGGCGAAGGAAGCCGTGTCCGCCCGGCCCGGGCGCCTCCTCCGAGGAGCAGCGGGGTCCCCGTCCCTCACCTGTCCGAGCAGCGCCCTGGCCAGGCGGACGCACGGCTGGTCGAAGAAGGCGGCGCCCAGGCGGGGCGGGGAGGGCGCCTTGGCCAGGGTCGCGTCTGCCGCTGCCTCCGCCTCCTGCTCGCGAGGAAGCCGCTTCCGCGGCCCCGGCATGGCTGCGCCAGAGGGAGGGGGTTCTGGCAGTCCCGCCCCCTCGAGGTCTCCGCCCCCTCGAGTCCGTCGGGGCGCCCCCTGCCGGGGGGAGCCGGAACAACCCCGAAGGCTGCGCGGAATCCCGGCCTCTCTCGGCATCCGCGCATCCAGGCACAGTCCTCAGCTTTACTGATCCTGGTTTTGTTTCGTGTCTGCATTTGCTCAACAGTGAACCGTAATTGTATCATCAGATCCTGTTTGAGAGAATGAATCCTTTCCGAAAATTAATAAAAAGTATTAAACATAAACACCCAATAACTGCTCCGTCAAATAAGAAATGTTATCCCTTTGTCCTGACTTGAGCACACAAGTACCCAGTGACTGAAACGCCGCCTTTACTGCCTCAGTTCCTCCTTCGGATGCTTCCTGGATTTCATTCTTCATCTTTAGATCACCTTGAGCAGTTTGATCAGGACGACAATGGCACAACCCAACCCAGGACCTTATTACTGCTGCTGCTACTACTACTATTATTAAGCCATTCAAAGATCTCAGGGCAGTTCACAACATAAAATTACAATATAGGAGAGGCAGTCCCTGAGGTATTGGCATCAGCCAGGGTTGCCATATTTCAAAAAGCAAAAAGTTGCTGAGCTTTTTCGGCAAAATCGCATTAACATTTTGGGGATTTCTGGATATGCAGCAGTAGTCTGGATATGTCCGGGAAATTTCGGATGTATGACGAACTCTAGCATCAACATCATTTCTGGGAAGGGCTCCTCCATTTGGGGTTCCTAGCCTGCTGGATTTGATGCCGCCTTTGACATTCAGAGCAGCCCCACCTCTGTTACATCCTTCCCTGTCCTCCTTATGGGCTTTGTGTCCAGAGATAAGCCTGTCCCACTGGTTCTCTTTGTTCCGCCAGGTTTCTGTTCTGCCCATGATTATCAGTGCTGTTCACTAAAACTAGATTGCCCCTCTTGACTTGGAGGCTCCCAGCATTAGTGCATGAACACTTATAGTCAGATGTTCCGTCTCTCTCTTCAAGTGTCTTTGGCACGGGCTCCAGCCTCTCATTTGCTTTCCTGTGTCCCGGCACCCACCATGCCCAGTGTAATAATAATAATAATAATAATAATAATAATAATAATAATAAATAACAACAATAACAATAATACCTTGCCCATCTGGCTGGGTTTCCCCAGCCACTCTGGGCGGCTCCCAATTGAATATTAAAAACAGCTCCCCTGTTTGAATTTTCACCTGTTTTACCATCCTCAACCCAGGAAGGAATTCATTCATTCTTGGATTACTGCCATGTGCTCTACGTGGGGCTACCTTAGAAGGTGACCCAGAAACTACAATTAATCCACAATGTGGCAGCTAGACTGGTGACTGGGAGCGGCTGCCAAGACCACATAACACCAGTCCTGAAAGACCTACATTGGCTCCCAGTACGTTTCCAAGCACAATTCAAAGTGTTGGTGCTGACCTTGAAAGCCCTAACCGGCCTCAGCCCAGTAGACCTGAAGGAGCGTCTCCACCCCCATCGTTCAGCCCGGACACTGAGGTCCAGATCTGAGGGCCTTCTGGCAGTTCCTTCCCTGTGAGAAGCCAAGTTACAGGGAACCAGGCTGAGGGCCTTCTTGGTAGTGGCTCCCGCCCTGTGGAACGCTCTCCCACCAGATGTCAAAGAGAAGAACAACTACCAGACTTTTAGAAGACATCTGAAGGCAGCCCTGTTTAGGGAAGCTTTTAATGTTTAACAGACCAATGTATTTTAATAATTGGTTGGAAGCTGCGGCATCAATTCTTCTTCTTCTTCTTCTTCTTCTTCTTCTTCTTCTTCTTCTTCTTCTTCTTCTTCTTCCCCTCCTCAGTGCCTGTCGGTTTCCCTGGCCCTATCAAGAGTGCTTTACCCAATAAATGCATCCATTTGGTAGAAGCAGTGGTCTGCCCTGAGCCTAGAACACTGCAGATACAGAGCCCACTGCCCAAGAGAGGAAGATGAGCTCCTTTGCAGGGGGGGGGTCCAGGAGGCTGGGCAAGTGCCCCTTCTCCATAGGGCAAGCCCTTCCATGGGGCAGGGGCTGCTGGGGTTTGCTGAAGCAGGGCCGGGGGGCTGAGGGGCTCCGCTGAGTCTCGGCATGCGGCCCAGCCGGCCAAGCCCACCACGATGGCGGATACTGTTGCCTGACAAATGCCCAAAGATAAAAATGTCCCCCCAGCCAGCTGCGGATGCAGAGTCTCCCACTGCAGTTAATAGCACGGGATGCCAGCCAGCCAGCCCCTCCCTCCTCCCGGGCAGCCAGAGAATTCGGGCAGAGCAGGAGGATGGACTCTGCCTTTGCAGCCTGCCTTGGGTGACTGAAAGGCAGCTTGCTGACACTCCCTCACCCTGCAGAAGCTGGCGCTGCCCAGAGGAATTCCTGAGAACTGGAATTTTGGTGTAACCACTGTTTCACCCTTCTTTTTCTATCTTCTCGGAGCTGGGGTGGGAAAGGCTGTTCTCTGCCAGAGGAGACCCCGGAGGGCTGCTGCCAGTCAGAGCAGGCCACACTGGAGGGGTTGAGGGGAACAACCCACAACCCGTCTCTGGAGGGAAGCAGCGGCTTCCTGTTCCTCCAGGCATTCTGTGGCTCACATTGTTCTGGAAAGGATAAAAAAATATTTGCCACGTAGCAACTGGGAGGCACATAAGAAGGAAAGGCACATTGCGGTGCAGCAATTCATCTGTTTTTGTTGCAGAGCCAACCAGCCAAGTCTCAGGGGGGAACTGGCCTGGAGGCAGAGTCCATTTACAAGGTCCAGTCCAGTCCTAAGGTCAAGACTATCTCAGTTCATGTAGTCGGACGGTCCAGGGGTCAAGAAAGCCGAGGGTCCAAGGCATGGGTAGGCAAACTAAGGCCCGGGGCCCAGATCTGGCCCAATCGCCTTCTCAATCCAGCCTGCAGACGGTCTGGGAATCAGCATGTTTTTACATGAGTAGATTGTGTCCTTTTATTTAAAATGCATCTCTGGGTTATTTGTGGGGCCTGCATGGTGTTTTTACATAAGTAGAATGTGTCCTTTTATTTAAAATGCATCTCTGGGTTATTTTTGGGGCCTGCATAGTGTTTTTACATGAGTAGGATGTGTCCTTTTATTTAAAATGCATCTCTGGGTTATTTGTGGGGCATAGGAATCCGTTCACTGGACAGCCAGTGTGGTGTGGTGGTTAAGAGTGGTGGACTCGTAATCTGGAGAACCGGGTTCGTGTCTCCACTCCTCCACACGCAGCTGCTGGGTGACCTTGGGCCAGTCACACTTCTCTGAAGTCTCTCAGCTCCACTCACCTCACAGAGTGTTTGTTGTAGGGGAGGAAGGGAAAGGAGAATGTTAGCCGCTTTGAGACTCCTTCGGGTAGTGATAAAGCGGGATATCAAATCCAAACTCTTCTTCTTCTTCTTCTTCATTTCTCCCCCCAAAAAATATAGTCCGGCCCTCCACAAGGTCTGAGGGACAGTGGACCGGCCCTCTGCTGAAAAAGTTTGCTGACCCCTGGTCCAAGGTCACGAGGAGCAAGAAGCAGCAAGGTTTGGCCAGGAACGACGAACGTTGTTTCCAGCAACTGACTGAGGCTGCAAACCCTGCTGAAGAAGCTGGAGCCAGCAGATTCACATCAGGAGCAAGAGGGCTAATCAGTAGCAGGCAGAGTCACTTGGCCTTCTGCTCCTTCAGGCTGCTGCTCAGCAGGTGAAGCCGACTCCTGGCCCATGACAGTTTCTGGTGTTACTTAGACCGCCAGGACCTGATTTGCAGGCCAGCTCGGGGGAGGTCCCCTGGATGTTCGAAGCCAGCTAATCTGACCTTGCTCTGGGCTGCTCTTCTGGGACCCCACCCAAGGGAAGCTGGGGCACCAGTAAACAACTGGGGGGGGGGGAACCCTGGTGAATTAATTGATCTCCCAGTGATCATTCTTTGCACTCATTTATTGATGACCGAATAGCTTTTACAACAATATGTGGTTGCTTTTGGTCTTTGGCTTGGAAGTTCAGTATCTCAAACGGTCTCAATGCTACCGTGGGATCAATTGGCTTTGAGGGTTAATCAAGTAGATACTAAAACAATTGCAGTGGTCATTGCTCCCTGGCACCGTTTGGCCACCTCCTGTCGACTGGGGGCATCTGAGAGCGACAGGCACAGACTTCCTCTCTGCTGCCTCCTTTAATTCTGAGCTGGCCTGTCTTAGAGCTGCCTTGCTGCATCTGTCACCAGCAGAAAGGCCCCATCCTGCTTGTCCCCTTGTTCCTCCTCCTCCTGTTGCTCCATTTCTGTGCTCCATCAATGCTTTTGTGCTCAACGGACACACTAGATTTCTCCTGGTCTGCCCCGCAGAGGACCTTAAGGTCCATAGTTTAGAGGTCCCGGGCCCTAAGGAAGTCAGACTATCCTCCACCAGGGCCAGGGCCTTCTCAGTGATGGCTCCGACCTGGTGGAATGCTCTGTCCAATGAGACCAGGGCCCTGCAGGATTTAACCTCCTTCCGTCGGGCCTGTAAGGCAGAGAAGTTCCGGTTGGCCTTTAATTGGAATTCAGCCTGATATTTTATTTCCCTTGTCTTCCCTCCCCCTTCCCTTTTATGAAGATTACCCGCTCTGGGACCACACAGCTAATTCTCCCCTGGTCTCCTCACTGGCCCAAGTAGACCAATTCAGCCAGCTAGCCCTGGGGATTATTTAATGCTTATTTCCCCTAAATTGATTTTTGAATTTTATTGTTATTCATGTTTTTATACTGTATTTTATGCTGCTTTTATAATTAAATGTTTTAAATTTGTTGTTAGCCGCCCTGAGCCTGGTTTTTGAACCGGGAAGGGTGGGCTATAACTAATTTTTTTTATTATTATTAGCCAAAAAAAGCAGGGGAAGAAGAAGAAGAAGAAGAAGAAGAAGAAGAAGAAGAAGAAGAAGAAGAGGAGGAGGAGTTTGGATTTGATATCCCGCCTTTCACTCCCCTTCAGGAGTCTCAAAGCGGCTCACAATCTCCTTTCCCTTCCTCCTGTCGCCGGAAATCCCCCCCCCTTTTCATTAACACTTGTATCGCACAAGCACCACATTCACGCACACACGCATCTCCCCTCCCTGACCCTAGAGATGTCTCTTTAGAGGGCCATCTCTTAAAAGCCTTCCGTAAATAAGGAAGCGCTGTATTGACAACTCTCTCTGTTAGCGCTCCGCGCCGCCCTATCTTTATTGAGAGTAGACCGGACGACCGAACTCTAGGTCAAACGGCGGCCGCCTCAACCAATCAGCATTGTCGAACAGCGCCCCTTGCGGCGGC